CAGGAGAAGGGGGTGGGAAGCCAGGCCATGGAGGGCGCCAAGAAGAGTTTGTTCAACAGCATGTACCCTCGCTTGTGTCTGAAACCCAGCAGCCTTGCCGCATGGCTGCAGCGTGCCCTCTGTCGCCCCTTCGCTGCCTTGCACCCGAGACTCAATAGGTGCATCGCGGTCGCTGGAGCCGTGTTGGCATTGCTCTCCAACGCACCACGCACGGCCCCTGCTGCGCTCAAACGCTGCACCCCTGCCACCAGGACCTCACGCTGCGGCACCCCTGCCGAAACCATCGCTCACTGTATGGGGAACAGCACGTAACGGTCGGGGTTCTCAGCCAGCAGCGGCTCCACCCCCTCTCGCCCCAAGCCACTCCGCTGCTGCCAAAGCTCCTCCAGCGCCCGCGGCACCAGTACGCCAGGCACATCTGGCAAGCTGCCCTGGCTGCTGCTGCAAGATGCTCGGCCGCCGCCGCCGCTGGTAGCTGCAGGGCTGTCTCCGCCGACGGCTTGCTTCAACAACTGTTGCAGCAGCGGCCGAGCCCCACGCTCAAGCGGCAGCACGGCAGGCTGCCCAGTGTGCGTGGGGGGCGCTGGCGACGAACAGTCAGGCGTGCTACTTTCCAGCCCATGGCTGCAGCCCACCTCGCTGCCATTGTTGCTGCTGCTGCCACCAGTGGTGTCGTCACTGTTACCACCGCAGCTGAGCGCAGCGTCGAGCTCACTTGACCCCGAGCTGCTGGTGCGATGTGCGGCAGGAATCAAGGCCGCCGCCGAGCTCTCCAAACATTCGCCACTGCGCCCTGCCATGTCTCTAGGCCTCAATGGCGAGGTGGCTGCCAGCGGAAGCTTGCAAAGCGAGTCGGCAGTTGTGCTTGCACCCGCTGGCATGACCACTTGCGTGCGGTCGTCCCCTGCCTCGCCATCAGGTTGCCCAAGAGCCCAATCCTGCGAAGAGCGAGCGCATTCTTCAAGACCTACCAAGAACACTCTCCCTGCGCAAACATGCCCCAAGCCACACGCGCGACGCAGTCGCACAGTCGTTCACAAGCGCCGCTGGCGTTGCGTCGCTGGCGGTGCTCACGAGCTTCGTCCACACCACCATGGCAAAATAATGCTTAAATTTCGACTCGCGCCGCGTTTGCAGGCGCGCTCACCTTCATTGCCTGCCACCAGTGGTGCGAGCGTGCTGCGTTCAGACCTCACCACCGGCTGCCTGCACCCCTCACGAGGCGCGCTACAGTCGCGTGACACCTCTCAATCACTGAAAAGTGCCACTTCGAACAGCTCCCCCAGGAAGACCGCTCTTCGGCAGTTTGTGTAGTTTGTGTGCCAAAGGCTGGAGCGAACCGTAGCAATAAAAGTAGAAAGATCTCAGGTTCAATCAGCCAAAAGATTTTCATATGCTGCTCCTGCTGCTTGATTTGGCATTCAATTCCCCGCATGCTGCCCGTGCTGTGCTGCTTGTGCTCGTTGCCTGATGCGCGTTCTGCTCAAACCTTTCCCTCCAGCCGAAGCGGCAGAGTTGCCTAGATGCTGATGTCACCAATTTGAGCGATCGGGGCAAGGGGTGTCCCTGGCATGCGCAAATTGTCAACAGCGTATAGACGGGCTGCCAGGTGCTGGTCCAGAGCTTGGCCTTGGAGGCAATATGATTACCGGGGGTGACCCTTGATCCCTCCTGTGGGCCCACTCATGGCTTATTTTGATGTTATAATGTATGTTACATCGCACCAAATTCGTCTCAGTTGATCCTGTAGTGTCCTTGGGATGCCGGGGGGGATAGACCCTTGACATTTGCATCCACAACATCCACGCGCTGGCTTTGTTGCTGCTGCCGTGTGCAGTGCCGCTTTGGGCGCCAACTCCCAGCCTGCGCCGCGGGGTTGCACAAAGATTGAGGTGCCTGAATGGTAGCATGGTGGATGACATGCCTCGTGTGGCAGACGCATGGCGTTCTGGCCTCTGAACCAGTTGGCCGTGTGGCGTCTGCCCATCGTTTCATGACATGCAGGGCGAGCGACATGGAGGGCACTGCTGCGGAACGCCGCGAGGCACACATGGTGTGCTGAATAGCCTAGTTCGATGCTCGTGCCGAGTGCCTGGGCTGCGCATGCAGTGCATTCAACGGCTTCAGGCAGGTTGAACCGGGGGGGGGGGGGGGGAAATGGGGTTATTGTGTGTCTGCTGAAAGTTGCACATTGAAAAAACCGCAGCCAACCCTACCCCCCCCCCCTCATTTGCCTGGCATGGACCGACCGCGGCTTTGTGGGCATGCGGCGGTGCGGCATCACCGGGGTGGAGCGAAAAGGCAACCGGCCGAATAGTCCAGGACATCTGCGAGGTTTTTCTTGTGCGGTGATGTCAAGCGACCGAGCAGCCTAGCGCGATCTAGAGAACACACAACAGCGCATGCCGTCTGCCGGCCGGTCACGCCGGGCTGTCTCAAACCATCCCAAATCCTGTAGATGGTGGCGAGCTTTCAATAATTCGATCGGGTTATTTCCTTGTTTCTACAATACTTGACACAAAAGTGCAAGGCTCCATCGTCGCATACAGTACCCTCCAATCTGCCTCCCTCGCCGCATTCTTTATAGTATTGCTTTTCATAAGGGAGCGCCCGCAGGGCGGACGAGTTCTTGCCCGTGCTTCAATGCAGCACCCAGACCAAGTCAGGCGGAATTGAGCCATGCACATTGGCCCGGGTGCCACGAGCGCTGGACAGCAGAAGGAGGACGTAGAATAGTGTAGAGAAGGCGCCAGCAGCGGGTGCGTTGCAGGAGCTGGAGAGGCGGCGGCGATGCCCACCGCCGCCGCAGCCGCTGCCCAGCCTTGCGCATGCAGCACAACGGCGTGTGCACAGTGTCATTGACTGTGATCTTCGCGCAAACTCACCGCCCTGCCCCTGTGCTCTGTAGAAGGCATCCCCCTTATGGGGCTGTTCAACTTGCTGCGAAGGGAGGGCGCGAGGAACGTCAAGGCGACGGCGGGGCCCGCAGCCGCGGCGGCTGCACGCCTGGAAAACGGCGGCGCCAGCAGTGACGCGCGCGCGTCTTTCGCCTCCACCGCCTCCAGCGATGCCATCATTGAGCCACCGCGTGCCTCGTTTGGCGCGTCGGCGCTGGCGCGGCACGTGTCGTTTGCGCCAGCGGCCGCGCGGCGCGGGGCGATTGATGTGTCGGGGCCCGTCTCGGCCGAGGACGGCGCTGGGCCACCGTCAGCCGACCGCGGTCGGCTGCCGCCAGTCCCGCCGCCCGTGATCGAGCGCCGCCGCAGCAGTGGGACCGCCAGTGTCGATCTTGACGGCTCGTTTGCGGACGCCGTCCTCATGCACCGCGGGAGGTGCGTGCCGCTCCTGAGGCTGCTGCTCGTGGGGTCCGCCTAGCCCGCGCAGCCGCGCGCGTCTTCCTCGTACCCACACCATTGGTAGCCGCGCTGTCAGCAGCTGCAATGCAGCTGAGCTCACCTCGCGCCATTTTGAGGAGGGGGGGGGGGCGGGAGCCGGCAGGTCTGCTGCGCGACATCTGCGTTGACCCCGGACGCGCCTCCACGTGCGCGGCCACCCGCGGGACGCAGGAACGCGCTCATCTACCGCGCCCGCGAGCGCGAGGGGCGGCGCCCAGTGGTGCTCAAGGCGTACGACCCGCGCCGCGGCGCCGCGCTGGAGCGTGAGGTGCGGCTGCTGCGGGAGGCGGGGCCGCACCCCGGCCTGGTGCGGCTGGAGGCCGTGGTTCAGGCCAGCGGCGCGACACACCTGGTGCTGGAGGCCTGCGGCGGCGGCACGCTGATAGAGGCGATCGCCAACAACGGCGGCAGGCTGCCGGAGCGCGTCGCGGCGCGGCGGATCGTGGGGCCGCTGCTCCGCACGCTGGCGCACCTGCACTCGCGCGGCATTGTGCACAGGTGCGCACGCGGGATGTAGGGGGGCGGACGGCGCATGGTCGGGGGCAGGGGGCCGAGGGGATGGGGGATTGCAGGGCCGGGCGAGAACGTGCTGGACTGGACCGGGCTGGACTGGGATGGAATGGGATGGGCTGGGCTGGGATGGGCTGGTCGCCGCTCCGCCTCACTGTGATCATGCGCCGCGCCGCCATCATCGTCCATGCAACCTCGCAGCAGGGCGAGCAGCAAGCTGAGGGGTCAGTCAGCCAGCGCGACCCCTGCCTAGCCCCTCAGCGTTGCTTGCCTGCGCTGGCACACCCTGCAGCTGCGAGCCCTGTGCCCACCACACCCTTGCCCCGCCGGCCCCGACCGCCCCCCATGTCGGCCCTCAGGGACATCAAGCCCGAGCACATCCTGCTGGCGGCTGACGGCCTGCGCGTCGCCGACTTCTCAACGGCGGCCTACCTGCCCTGGAAGCAGGCCAAGCTCACGCAGGACGCAGAGCGCAACGCCGCGGCCGCCACCCCGCCCGCGGCCGGCGGCGACGGCGCCGCCGCGCGCCCGCGGCGCGCGTCGGCGGGCCAGGCGCTGCGCTGTGAGCTGCTCAACCACCGGCTGTCCACGATGGCGGTGGAGTACATGGCGCCAGAGGTGCTGTCAAAGCCCACGGCAGCAGAGGTGTTCCACCTGGTGCGGGCTGGACGCCACAGGGCGGGTTGGGTTGGTGGCAGGAGGGCTGCGTGCTGGTTGTTGTGGGGCCAGGAGCGTTGAGCCTCCCTGGGGTGGCTGCGAGCAGACCGCTCCCCGCCGCGCGGTTGCCCGTTCCTTACCCCAGCGACTCCCGCCCCCATACCACGCGCCAAGGCGCGGCCTTGCCGCCCTCTTGGGTGCCCATCCCGCCGTTAAGCTCGCCCCCCCTGCAGCGGCCTCACCCCGCTCCTCCCTCCTTCTGCGCCCCTCCCCCCCCACCCATGGGGCCCAGGTCCTGAGCTGCGGCATGTCTGAGGAGGAGCTGCCTGTGTATGACGAGAAGGCCGACATCTGGAGCGTCGGCGCGCTGCTCTTCGAGGCGCTGACCGGCTTCCAGCCCTTCCTGGCGGACGGCGCCGCAGAGATGGCGGCCGTCGTGGCGGCGCGCCTGGAGGAGCGCGACCCAGACACGGGCCTGCCGGGCTTCCTGGCGCGCCAGCCCGCGCTCAGCGCCGACGCCAAGGACTTCCTGGCGCGCTGCCTGGAGCCGCGGCCGGAGGCGCGGCCCTGCGCGGGGGACCTGCTGCAGCACACCTGGATTGCGCGGCGCCGCTCCGCCAACGAGGAGCGCCTGGGGCCGGGGGGCCTGCGCAGCGGGAGGGAGTCGGACTGCGGGGAGCAGGGCGCAGTGGCCGGCGGTGGCGGCGGCGGGGCGCGGCCCGGGCTGCACATGCACGACCTGCTGGCAGACGCGTTTGGGGGCCCCGGGGCCGCGGGCGGTGCGGACGGCGGCGCAGGGCATGGCAGGCGGCCGGGCGCCGCCGGGCGCGACGGCGGTGCAGGTGGAGCCGGGGCCGGCGGCGGCGCTGGCGGCGGCGGCGTGTTTGGCGCGCTGCACCGGTCGGCGTCTGTGGCGGACGCGGCGGGGCCCTTCCTCACGACGCGCAGCCACACCGGCCGGCTGGAGGGCGCCCTGCCTGGGCGGCGCGCGGCGGCGGCGGCGGCGCTGGCCGGCGCCGACGACGACAGCGACTAAACGCCGCCGAACGCCGGCGAATCTGTTGACACGCAGGGCCGCGCAGGCCCGGCCCCCAGCGACCACCCCAGTAATTGAGGGTGTGCGTTTGTGGCGATGTGTGTTCCCCGGGTATTTCACGGCGTGAGGCGCGGGGACCCTCCGTCGGGGCTTCCTGAGACTGTCTTGACTCATCAGAGCGCGGGGGACGCCCTACGGGCGCCTGCTGCCCCCCACGGGCACCTGCGGCCCCTGGGGCCAGTGGGTATGAGAGGGCCTGGCGGCCGCCGTCTGCTTGGCGCCGCCGGCTGAGGGGCCGCCCGCCTGGCGGCTGGTGCGTGCTCCCCACGTATGTCGTTAAACCCCAAACCATTCAACGGTCGGGTCCGTTCATGAGCCACAACCTTCGGCCCTTGGTGGTTGGAGCCGTGTCGTGATTTGGGGTGCGGTGGGGCAGGGGCGCGAAGAGGCCGTGGCGCAATGCGGCCGGCTGGGTGGCAGTCTTTCGCCTGCTCGCGCCGTGCGACCGCGGCGCGTACGGCTTGCGTGCCGTGGCCTGTTCAGTCGTCCATGGCGTGGCACGCGGCTTGCTGCACGTCCCATGACAAGGGGTCGCGGCCGCGAGTCCGAGAACCTCTTCTTCTTTGCAGTATGGAACCTTGGCTTTGCGCGCCGCACAGACTGCTCAACTGCCCTGGCAGGCACTGCAGCGCCGTCGATTTTGGGTGCTGCGTTCAGTTGACGCCTGGCACCGCACTGGCGCTCCTTGCCGCCACCTACCACCTTGAAATTGCGGCTTGACAGCCGCAACGCGCGCCATTGCTCTCGGCTGCGCTGCGCAGCGCGCCGGCCGTGCACCCCCTGGACGGGAGGCGGCCGCCACTCCGTACCCCCGGGCGCTGCCTGCGCCAGGCGTCACCCGGGCGCCTGGTATGTGCTTGCGGCAGCCACAGTGCGCCGCGCTGACACAAGCAGCACCCTGGCCCTGGCCTTGGCGCCTGCGTGTGGGACGGAGGGCGTGGCTGTGCCGCGAGAGTCTTGGCGGTCCAGGGCCCAGCCACCTACCAGCAAGCCCTGCACATGCCTGCCGACTTTCAAGGCCCCAGCACAAGACCCCAGGACACACGAGTCTGTTTTACTTGCAGTCTGTTCACACTGCGGTGAGTGGCTTGAGCACCACCACATGGGGCGACAGCGAAGCTGCCCCCCTCGCGCCGGCGCTCTGAGGCGCACCTGGGCAGCCGGTTTTGTTGTGCCAAGAGGCCCCTCCTGCGTCCGCACGCACTCGCCCCGCATCTGATGCATCAAAATTTCCTCAACTGCTCGTCGGCAGTCCCGCCCTCAGCCAGTCCTTCGGGGCCCCTGCCGGCACGCACTGGCCCACGCACTGCAACGCCGCCCCACCGCCGCCCCCCTCCTGGCGCGCCTGCTGGCACCCATTCGCCGGCGGCGCCCCTGACCCGGGAGTCTGGGGTGGTGGCCGCGTGGCCCCTGAGGGCCGATCCAGCAACCCAGCTTTGAATGAGCGACAGTGCCGGTGCCCGTTTTGACGGCTCAGTGAAGCAACGCGTCGGGCGCTGCCGCCCGTTCCAACTCCGCTGGATCACCCCTTTGGCCCCAGGCTGTGTTTGCAGCGGATGCGCCGTGCAGTCGCAACCACTCCGCAAAGGTGTGTGGCGCGTCGCTGGGATCTTTGTGTTTTGCCCTGGGGAGGTGGCCGCGGCGACATGGCGCGGCAATGGCGGCCGAATGCAGCTGCTGGCGCGCGCCCCCAGGCGCGCATGCTGCCGAGAGAGCGTGGCTTTTGCCCGGTGTACATTCTTCGGTGAGTCGCCGCCCGTTGTTTGTGTCGTGTAATCAGTTGTCTGTATTGCTCATCCCTTGAAAGGGGATAATCATCTGGTCAACGCCATCAGGGGCGCACGGGGGCGCCATCGTGGTGCTAATCCATCCCCGAGGCCGGGCCACCAAAGGAACGCAGAGTCTTCAGCCAACTGTTGCTCAAGCCACGCGATGCGATCGCATGCATCCTGCGATTGCATGCATCCTGCCAGTCGCTGCAGCATCAGAGTAAATGGGGCTATCCAGAGCAGATGCTGCAGGGTTGGGTCAGGGTGCGGGCCCAACCCGCGGCGACATGCGCACACAGCAACCCACACCGGCCACCCACCACAGCTCCAAGCCGCCACCAGCAAGGCAGGGCCCTCCAACAGGCGGCGCCTGCCCCGCTGCAGCTCAAGGGGCCCCACCGCGCCTGAACGTGCTCCACGCGCCCCCGCGGCCTGCGCGCTGTGCGGGCGCAGCCCCCTACAGCTTGCGCGCCAGCGCGGCCACCCAGCTGCGGTCCTTGCCTGGCAGAGCGCGCGGCCGGTCGCCCAACACGACCAGCGCCCCGCCGCCCGCCACGTGCTGCAGCAGCAGCGACTGCGCCCCGCGCGGCACCACCGCCCAGCTGTCCACGCCGGCCCGCGCCATGGCTGCGCGGTCGGGGAGCCAGAGCTGCTGCCGCTGCCCCCGCAGCACTGCCGCAACGTCTGCGGAGGCGGCTGCGCCGCGGGCCAGGTCCTGTGGGGGCGTGGGATGAGCAGGTTGCAGTAGGCAGCGCGGTAAGGCTGGTACGCCTCGGGTTGAGAGTGTCACGGGCCAGTGTCACGCTGCCGCGGGTGCCGTCAGCGCCCTGCAGCCATACTCTGGCCGAAAACCTCTCCTGGCACCTCTCACCTTCGCAGCCGCATCAAGCACCACTTCGCCGCCGCCACTGCCGCCGCTCCCGCTGGCGCCACCGGCCGCACCGCTGCCGATCGCGCCGCGCGCCGCCACCACCTCGCCCCCGCCGAGGGCCACCACGACGCCACAGCAGTTGGCGTTCTTGAGCAGCGCAAACGTGAGCCAGGCCAGCTCCCGCTTGTCCGCCTCTGGCAGGCGCTCCGCCAGCACAAACACGCGCGCCGCGCCGTCGACGGCCTCGGCGGCCTGCTGGCGGCCGCGGCCGGGCAGCACCTGTTTGAGGCGCTCTTCTATCTCGGGGGTCACCACACACAGCGCCACTAGCAGCGCACACAAGAACTCCGCACGCTCCTGGGGGTGGGGGTTGGGGGTGGGCCAGGGGCGTGAGGGTGGGGTGTTGAGATGGGATTCGGGCAGTTGGGTGGGTGGGATGAGGGTCGCCAGGGTGAGTGAAGGTCAGGTGGATCGCGAGCCCTGCTGTGCGCCGGCTGGCGGTCAGCAGGCCCGCTTGCCAGTGACAGCAGCCCTGGAGCAGCAGATGGGCGCGTCGCCGTCGCGGCGCCGAACAGCCGCTTCGGGCGCCTGCCGTGCGCCTGCCCGCAGGCCTGCGAAGCCACCGGCCGCGAACCTGCGCCGGCGGCACGGGCTGGGCCCCGAGAACATGGTTGAGGGCGAGCAGCGCCGCCGCGGCGCCGCCGACGACGCGCGGCACGAGGCTGTCGTCAAAGCCGGGTATGCCGAGGGTGAAGCGGAACACCGCCACATCCAGCTCATCGCCGTCGTTGAGGCCACCACCGCCACCACTAGCACCCCCGCCGCCGCCACTCGCTGGTGCGACGTGCGTTGGGTGGGGATCGCAGGGGGCGGGACGGCGAGCACGTGAGGGCGAGCTCCGCACACTGCATGGCTTCGCTGATTATGGGGTCGTCCCCAAGGGCAAGCACCCAGCGGAGTCGCAGTGCTTTTCATCACACCTGCATGTAAACGCACGGAACTCCTGGGCTGCAAGGAGGGCTGTCCCGAGCTGAATGGGTCCCGCTTGGCTGCAGAGCATCGCTGCCTTGGTGGCCACTGCTGCTGCTGATGCGCCGCAAGGGCATGCCTGCGGCAGGCACGCCGGCTGCAGCTGGCGTGCGTGGCACATTGTCGGCTGTGATTACGGATCTGCATCGCACGTTCTGAATGGTTCCTCGGCTCAGTTGCAGATCATGTGCGCGTAGATGTGTGCCTAGATACTGTATGCGTACAAAGTATCAAAGCTGGCTGTTCACTACCCCGACTTCATTCAGTGTCGTGCGGAGTGCAGCACACTTTGCTCTGGGGACTAGTGCCGTACCGAGCAACCCGATGACCAGGCTCTGCAGACCGGTGTGCGCATGCGCCCGCAGTCTGTGCTGTGCTACCAGCATTGTCTATATTCAAATGCCACACATGCGAAGATGCCGCAATGGTCAGTCTGCCGTGGCAAAAAGCGCTCAGCTGCCCTCTTGCTATCCAATCAGACCCATGACTGAATGACAGCTCGCCCCTCGAACCCAAACGCAAAGAAGAAAGAGAGGGGCCACGACACATGACTCAGTTTTACAATTTGGTACAAAGGAATCTGGGTCAATCCAGCTGGAAGTCAAGCCTGAGGAGCCGGGCGGTGAATCCTGGGCAGCAGCGACGAGTGTTGGCGGCCCCGAGGCCCCAAACCAACAAGAACGACCCGGTCACACGCAGTGTGCCTGCACCGCAGCAGTGTCCCCAACACGCACCGCAGCCGGCTGTCAGGTCCCGCGGCTCCTGATCATGCCCGGCGCTGCGGTGGGGTTTCATGCAAGGCGGAGAGAAAGCGCAGCGTCAGCGTCAGCGCGACACCTGAGGGCGGAGCCCCTCACGCCAAAGCGATGTGGGCCAGCATCATCACCGACCCAACCCAACCCCTGCAACCCCACCTGGCGAGAACTTGATGTCCTCAGGCGTCAGCGGCATGGAGGCCACCAGCTGATAGGGTTGGCGGATGGGAAGCGGGGCAACGGGGAATGGGCACGGAGACCGCGGCGTGCTGCCGCCCCTCCCGCGCGGCGCTCTAGCGCGCTGACATCGGCCCCAGGAATGGCTTGCTCCCTGGGCAGGGACGCTAGGTTGCATGCCGCGCAGGACCCCACGCATGCGCCTGGGGTGACAGGAAACGCGCTAAGCACGCTCAGATGCGACTGGCGCCCCGCAGACCCCAACGCTGCAGGTGCTCTGCGGCCAATGCAACCCGCCGCAGCCCCCCCTCTTTGGCCGCACCTTGTCAACGTCCAGGGGGGTGCGGTCCACCACGCGTGCCGTGTACTTGTTGTTGCGCCGGAAGTCTCGGCCTTAGGGCGACATGGAGCGCGGGGACCGCAGTGCACGACGTTTCAGGCGGGCCGGTCGCAGGTCGCAGGGGAGGGTGTGGCACTGCCGCTGTCCATCACAATCGCGTGTGATGTGCCAGAGCCGTGGCCTGCAGCACGCCGTGGGGGCCAGCCACCTGCGCCTGGCTGGCAGCCGGCCTCGTTGACAGCTAGTCCCAGCGCATGACGGCCCCTCGCACCCCAGCCACAGGCCCGGCCCCAACCCCAACATCCCTCACCGTAGTAGCGCGTGTTGTACACCAGCGCCGGGATGTCGTGCGGCACGATGGCGCTCACAGGCTGGGACCTGGCGCGCGCATCGACGGCGACGGGGAGAAAGGGGCAGGGGGGGGGAAAGCCGCCTCAGCTGGCAGCTGGCGGGCACATCTGTCACAAGTCGGGGCTAGAAGCCGTGTTGTGCACAGCACGACCGTCCCCACCCAACAGCATGCGGGCCTGTGTGTCTTGTTGGGCCCGTAAGCTGCATTCCCCGTCAAACGGCCACAGCCGGTTGCACCCCACCCCGGGGTGGAGCCCACCCTGGTGAATGCTTGCGGTAGTCTGACGCGCTGGGCATGTACTCCAGGTAATCTACTGTGCTGGTCAGACCCGTAATCTGCGAGCACGACCGCGACTGAACGCTCAAAACCCGATGCACCGCTACGGCATGGCGCCGCTGCGGCGCGGCGCTGCACAGCGCTCGCAGCGCTCAGTGGTGCCTTATCGCCCGCCTGCCCCCACCCACCTCCCACGGCTTCTTGAAACCTTTAAATATCCCTCCTAGGGCCTTCACTATGCTGCCCATGCTGATAGTGAGACTGCTGGTACAGATCCACAAGTAGATTTAGAAAAGAACCGCAGATAATGGCATCTAGAAAAGTTGTGTCTTGTAGAACAACAAATGGAGCCGTGCAGCAGGGAATTCGTACAGTTCGCCTGCAAAAGTGTTCTACACGGGTGCAACTCTGCACGGCGCTTGCTGGCGAAGCAACCTTCTTTCTTGGACTACACTGAGAGTATATGGCTGACACCCAAGTGCTTTCCCGTATCACATCCTTCAAAACACTAGACCCGGCCCCGTCAGCCCACAGGCCACAGTTACCCGAGATCACTCTGCCTTTTTCGCAGCCCTGTGATGGATTGGTTGGTATGATGGCCCATGCATAGTGAAACGTCGGCGTGAGCACACGGCCCATCAACTGGGGGGCCAGCGGCCCCTAGAACGGCGTGGGATCTGCAAACATGGCCTTCTTCGTCCCTACTCGATTTGTGTGGCGTTTTGGCGGTAGAGCGGTGAGTAGTGTGCTCATATGGGCCCAGGCTTAGCTCTTTCGGGCCAGGAGTGGCCGGCCCACACCCGCCTTTGCCAGCCGTGCGCCCCAGCAGCAAGCGCGCTGCGCCGCACGGCCCGCATGGCAGACCACTGGTTTGGGTCCAGGGTTACTTATCGGCAGCTCAACGTGTGGGATATGGCCCCTGTGCGTCGCAGGTGCACCTGTGTGGGTCGTTCACCCGATGGGTGGAGACCATCCCCATGGCGCCGGTGGAGGGGACCCCGGGCGCTTTTGCAGTCGTCGTGCACCTGCCACCGGGGTGAGCGGTGGGAGACACCACGCGACCACGTATGGTCGTCAAGGGCAGCAGCTGTTGGGGACTCGCTGGCGGTGACATTCCTTAGGGCACCCTTTGCCCAGCACGTGCCCACAGCATCGTCTCCCGCGTCACACCACCCGCTCCGCTCGTGACAGCTACCACCAATACAAATTTATTGTGGATGGCAAGTGGATGCACGACGAAACGGCACCATACATGCCAGACCCCCTGGGCAACGTCAACAACTGGCTATTTGTGCGGAAGATTGAGCCACCGCCGCAGCAGCCCGTCGCAGGGTGAGAGCCGAGGGCCGCGGCGGGGCGTGAGTCTAGTCGCGCTTGGCGGGCTACGCGGTCTGACGTTGCACGGGTGTCTGCCGATGCTCTTTAAATTCTTGAGTCCAATGCTGTTGCGCCGGCCGTCTCTGCAGGATCACGTTTGAGCAGCAGCAGCAGCTTCTGCAGCAGCAGCAGCAACAGCAGTTACAGCAACAGGCCCAGCAGCAGCAGCAAGCGCAACAGCAGCAACAACAGCAGCAACAGGCGGTTGCTGCTGCAGCGGCCGCTGCGGCGCTGCTCCAGCAGCAGCAACAGCAGCAGCAGCACTTGGTAGCGGCGGCGCAGCAGGTGGTGGCGGCGCAGCAGCGGTCTCAGGTTGCTGCACAGCAGCAACAGCAGCAACAGGCGCAGGCACATGCACAGGCACAGCAGCAGCAGGCAGGGATAATGCAAGCGCCACGGGCCCAGGCCATCCCTACCAGCCCCACGGCACTCAGTGGCGCGGCTGGAGGCGGGTCGGCGGCGGGTGGGCCGGGTGCCTCTGTCGCGGTGGGGTCGACACTGGCGGGAGGCGGCGGCCTGGGAGGCGGTGCGGGTGGCAGTGGTGCGGGCGGCAGCGGCGGCGGCGATGTGGACATGGTGCCTGCAGACAGCAGCGTGGTGGCGCCCATCATCACACAGAGCGACAGGGAGCCGGTGCGGCACCGCGGCCGGGAACAGCCTCGCTCTTTTGGGGCCGCGGCACGTGAACGCCCACGCTTGTTTCTCCACGCCAACCCCCGCTTTGGCGCCCCCGCCGCCCAGCACCTTGATCGCCCGCAACGCCACCATGCAGCCGCCCATGAGTCCCCTTCTCATCCGCCCTCGTGGCCCCTGTCCTCGCCCCCCCCCAATAGGACCTGACCAAGAAGAAGGTGAGCGATTTCCTTCACGCCCACAGCGCGTACGAGCTGATCCCCGAGAGCGGCAAGGTGGTGGTGCTGGACTGCGACCTGCCCGTGAGGCAGGCCTTCCACGCACTGCACGAACAGGTGAGCCCGCGTGTGCGGTGTCGCGTGGTTGTGCGTCCAAGGGCCCCGGGCAGATCATGCGCACGAGGTGGCAGTGGGGGGTGCGCAGTGTGGTGCGGGGCAAGCCGCCTTGACCTGCCACATGGCTCTGCCTACGTCAGCTTCGTTGTTCGCGGGGCGTTCCCACCCCGGCATCGCCGCCCCTGCGAGTGGCAGCCTGGATGCGGCTGCGGCCTTGACCCTCGCGGCAATGAGGCTGCAGTGCGTGAGTCGGCACACAATAACGGCCTTCAACCCGGGTGTCCTGCTCTCGTCAGCCCCCTCAACCCCCCCCCCCCCGGTGCACTGTTCTCAGGGGTGCGCCAGCGCGCCGATCTGGGATGGCCGGGAGGGCACCATCGTGGGTGTCGTGTCCGCCTCAGACTTCATCCACACGCTGCAGCGGCTGCGCACCGCCGTCAGCCGTGGCGGGAACAACCCCCTCAGCGAGGCTGAGATGGACGCGCACACGGTGGGTGAGGGTAGGGGGTTGTCAGACGGTGTGGCAATGCAGGTCATTTGATGGCCAACGCGTAATTGCTGCATGCACCATGCAGGTGGCAGATTGCACGTGCGGGTCTGGTGTTCCGCGCCCCACCCAACCCACTCTGAAGGCATGAGTGTCAGCGACGCCACGCTGTGCTTGCACCCCCCCTCCTCCTGGCTGTGACCCCTGCACCCCCTGTCGCGGGGCCCCCTCAGATCCGCGGCATGCGCGAGGCTGCCGCGCTGGAGGGCAGCCCTCCCAAGCCGCTGGTCTATGTGAAGCCGGAGGACAACCTCGCCAAGGTCGGGCGGGGGAGGGGGGCGGTGTTGCGT